GAACCACTGGGCCGAGCGTGAAACCATAACGAGACCCTGCTGATGCCATTGCTGAAGACGTGCCCGCGGTCGATGGAGACTGGGGTGCCGGCCAGCTCCTCGATAGCTGCGAGTTGCCATGATGAGTGCGCACGGGCCGAGATGCCGATTACGCCAGGTACGGACTGGTCCACGAGCTTGGCCCTGAAGCCATCACCAATCTGCGCCACGACCGAAACAGAGACGGCGCGCCCAGCATGGACATGGTCCGCCACCGCATCGAGCCGCTCAGCCACAACAATCGGGGACGCCGCACGGAGGGGGGGAGAGCATGGCGGTACCCGCCAGAAGCCACGCAACCCGGCATGCCTGAGAACATTGCTATGATTATGGTGATGATGATGACGACGATGGTGATGCTGGTGCTGATGCTGATGATGGCGATGGTGCCAATAGCGACGGACGACGGTGATGCTGATAATGCTGATGATGATCATGCTGATGACGATGATGATGGTGACGGCGATCATGATGATGCTGATGATGATGATACTGATGATGATGATGCTGATGATGATGGTGATGATGGTGATGATGATGAGGGGAAGCATGATGAGGAGGAGGAGGACCAGCTCAAGACCAAGATGCGTCAACGGTGCTGTGATACACTGTCCCGTCACAAGCCCCCTCCTTATGAGTCGCTGCAGGCGTTATTGTTAAGTACAGGGAGCGCTTCCTTGGAAGACGAAGCCCCCATGGGCCTGCCATTCAGACGAGTTGAAATGGAACAGCCTTGTACCCTTCGACCTCTAGCGCATAAGAAATAATACGACAGGATCGGATCATGATCATCAGCGAGGTGTCCAATGAGAGCCCCGTTGTGAAAAAGGAACTGCCCCTATCTGTATAACTGATGGACGAAACTACACGTCTGGTCGTCATGTTGTAAGAGGTCGCAAGCGAGACGCCCACTTTGAAATGGAAACGCCCTCGATCCGTGCAGCTGTTACATCATTATGTCAGCTCCTAGACTTCATTTACACCACTTCGAGGGCGTCTCAAACGATCGCCCCATTTTGAGAAAGGAACCGCCCTCCATCCGTGCAGCTAGCTCGTAGCAGCTGCAACTACCGAAAACAAATGTGCGCGACCATACGGCGGGAACCCCGTTTCGAAAATGAACCGCCCTCTAAATTTGTAGCCGTTGCAAGCATTTGAAACGAATGTGTGCGGCGCTGCAGCGAGAGCCGCATTTCAAGATCGAGCCAGCCTCCATCCCTGAAGTTGATGCAAACATTTAAGATGCATGTGCGGGGCGCTGGGAAAAGAGCCGCATCTTGAAATCCTCCGACTCTCCATCCTTGAGGCTGTTTCAGACTCTCATGGCGAATGTGCGAGGCGCAACGGCGAGAGCCCCAGTCTGCAAACCGCCCGCTCTCCAACTTGGAAGCTCTTGGAGTTCTTGGGCTCAGGGCGGCAAGCTGCAAGGAAGTCTCGAGCGAAACTCCGGGCCCAGCCTGCGAGCACCTTTGGTGGTGCGACCAGGGACTGTTTCAAGGAAGAGGAAAGGGAATATCGAGGAGGGATGGGGACGAGGATGGAGAGGAAAGAGGAGGGCCGAGGAGGAGGGAGAACGAGGAGGACGGGGGGGACGATGAAGAGGACGACGACAAGGCGGACGAGGATGACGGACGAGGAGGACAAGGAGAAGGAGGATGAGGAGGACGAGGAAGGGCGAGGAAGGGCGAGGAGTGGCGAGGATGAGGGGCGATGATTGGGCGAGAAGGACCAGAAGGAGGGGCGAGTAGGACGAGGACGAGCAGGATGATGATGATGGTAATGATGATGATGATGATGATGATGATGATGATGATGATGATGAAGATGATGATGATGATGGTGATGATGATGGTGATGATGATGACGATGCTGATGACGATGACGACGATGATGCGTATGGTGACGATGATGGTGACGATGATGATGCTGCTGCTGCTGATGATGACGATGGTGATGGTGAAGGTGATGGCGATTATGCTACTGATGATGCTGCTGCTGCTGATGATGATGCTTATGAGGATGATGCTGATGATGCTAATTATGATGATGATGATGCTGCTGCTGCTGCTGATGAGGATGATGATGATGATGATGAGGGAGGCAACGGAGTCTCGACTGCAAGAGAATAAGGGGTACGTTGCGGTCGGGTACTTTGCGTCCGCGTTGAGGTATGGAAGGGGGAGGGGTGGCAGACTGATTTTTTCCTTTTGGGGGCACGTTGATTGAGCATGGCCTCAATCCCGAAGGACTGCATGGGGGTCGAGGGCGAAAAGCGGGGCCAGCATGGGAGATGGTGAGAGGCAGAGTTGCCTCTCTTTCGGGGATGTGGGTAGGTGGGTGGGGGGGGGCCGGGCAGATTCTTTCGTTTTGAGAAGCGGGTGCGCGGGTCCCATAGTGGACCTGGCTCAACCCAGGACGAGTATGAGAACACGGCCACCTTAGGGCTCTTTCGGGGGTCTTGGGGTGTGGGAGCTGTCGTTTTGGAGCATCCGAGGGCCCAGGGGTCCTTCGTCTCAACTCAGGCAGGCTGCTGGGGCGTGTCGGGGCCCCTTGCGGCTCCCTCGGGATTGCCGAACCAACAGCGTTTCTCACTGCGCGCAAGGAAAACTGCCTGGTAGTTCTCCAACGCGGCGGCGTGAAAATCGCCCTGTGGGTCGCCCGAGCGGTCCCGAGATCCATCCAGGAGGGCCGCGGTTCAACTGCTGCAGGCTGCAGAAGCCTCCTAGGGGGCCCGCTCGGGACTCCTTCGGGCCTCCAAACGGAGGGACATCGTAGGGCCTTGTTGGGTCGGTCGCACTCTCTCTCTCTCTCTCTTCCTCTTTCTCTCTCTCTCTCTCTCTTTGGCGGCGAGCGAGGGGGGGAAATGAGGAGAAGGCCTTCTCAGAAGGCTCGGAAGTCCCCCTGCCTTCTGAGGAGTTTCGTAAGCCTTCCCCGGAGACACAACAAAAACCTCTCAGCAGGCGCGAGGGCTCCGGAGAAGTCCCGCCGCCTTCCGAGAAGGCCCTCTCCTTCTCACTCCCCCCCCCTCGCTCGCCGCGGATCCCTCCCTCTCTTCCTCTCTCTCTCTCTCTTTCTCTCTCCCTCTCTCTCCCTCTCTCTCTCGGCTCCCGGCTGCACTGCCTCCACACCGCGCCAGAGCGTGGCGCGCTGCCCTGGGCCCGCGCCACGCCGCCGCGCGCTTCCTCTGCCGCGGGGCCCGGCCGGCGGGCCCGGCGTGGGCCGGCCGAGCTGCCCAATGGGGGGGCACCGGGCAGCGAGCTGCGCTGCAGTGGCAGGAGGCAGGAGGCCGTGGGAGGCCCAGGCGGCCGCGGGCGGGAGGCGCGGGCGAGGGGCGGGTCGGCACGAATCGGCGGCGAGCGAGGGGGGGAAGCGAGCAGGAGAGGGCCTGCTCCAAAGGTTCGGAGGTCCCCCGGCCCCCCGAGGAGTGCTCTGAGCCCTCCCCGAAGCCAGCAGACGAGAAGTTCTCAGAAGGCGCGATGGGCTTCTGGGAAGTCCAGCCGCCTTCTGAGAAGGCCTGCGCCTGCTCAGCTACCCCCCTCGCTCGCCGCCGAAGAGAGGCGCTGTGGGGGCGGGCGCCCCCCTGCCAGACCCTTCAGGACTCGGGCCGGGTCCAGGAGAGCTCCTGGCTCCCCTCCTGCAGGCTGCCCGAGCGCGGCCCGGCGAGGCCCGAGAGAGGCCCGAGAGGCTTCCGAGAGAGGTCCCTATAGAGCCCAACCGATTCCGGTGAGAAGTGAACCGAATTTCTGGATACTCCAGCGGTCCCACTAGCAGCCCAAGGGAGTCCCAAAGACGCCCTGGATGGGCCACGAGGTGCCTGAGAGCGGCCCAAGAGGAGGCCCTACAAGGCCCAAGAGGCTCCCAAGAGACGTCCCCCAAAGGGCTCCTGGTGACCGAAACTGTCGAGGCACAGTTCTGGACACTCCTGGGGTCTCCAGAGCTCCCCAAAGGAGTCGCAGAGAGGCCCTGGTGAGGCCGGGAGACACGCCGCGGGTTTGGAGACCTGCCCTGGCAGCACGCGGTAATCCTGCGTGCGGCGCGGGAACTATAGATTTGGAGCCCAGAGGGAAAACCAAGCGGGGCGAAGAAGACCAAGACCCTAAAATCTGCCAGAGTTGACTCAGGGGTCCTCTTGGACCCATCTCGGGGCTCTTTTGCCGCCCGAAGGAGGACCGATCTCTCTCGCCGCGCGTTGCAGAACTGCCCAGGCATTCTTGTATGCAATTGTTCCCCTGCGCACGGCGTGAGGACGGCTGACTCGCGAGCCCCAAGGAAGCTCTAAGAGGCACCGACGGGGCAATTCTGACAGCGCGCGTCGGACAACCGCCCAGGCAATACGCGATACTCTGCACGCGGCGTGAGACCCGCTGATCCAGGAGTCCCAAGAGTCCCAAGAGGATTGGCCAATGAGTTCCCAAGCTCCTGGTGGAGTGAAGCCCAAGGCCCTCTTGAACGCACCTTGGGGCCCCCCTTGGGATCACTGCCCCGTCAGTAGGCGGTTCTCGTGCGCCTGACCCAGGAGTCCCAAGAGAATCCCAAGTGAGCCCAGACATTCTCCAAGAGACTGCCGGAGTTGAACGTCAACCTCCACTGTATCCTCTTCCTCACTGCCCGCGTCGTCCTCCTCGTTGCGGTCGCCATATGTACAGGCTTTCGTTGTCCTCCTCCTCCTCCTCCTGTCTTTCTCCGCCTCCACTTTTCCTCATTGCGCAGGGTACGTACGATCGGTCTGTGCTGAAGCGAGATCCACGGAATCACTATAGACACCGTTTGGTGGGAGAGGGGCGGGCGGCTGCGGAGGCCTCGCGAACGCGGTAGCCTCTGCAACAGAGACAGCGGCTGGCCTGTTGCAGTGGGAGCAAAATGCGGAAACCCTCGCGACAGACGCATGCCGAGAGCAAGGGCCTCCGCAGAGTAGAGCGAACCGGGCTCTACTGGTTGGCAGGAGAGGCGTCGACTGCCAGTGGCACAACTGATACAGGCCTGCGCTGGAGGGTGGGAAGGTAGGGGGGAAGGGGGATGAAGGGAAGAATTGAGGGGGGGCGAGGGGGATGACGGGAAGAAGCGAGGGTGGAGGGGGGGTGACAGGAAGTAGCGGGGGGGGAGACGATAAACGGGCACAAAAGCTTCCCTTCGTTTTGGACTCTACGCTCGTCCTCCACCCCTTCCCAACAGTTTCAAGGTTGGCATTGGACTCGCGAGGGCCTCAAATATTCCATGCCTTTAGTCTCGTCAGGCCTGTGCTAGCAGACCTCCAGGGCGGACATTGAATTTGGGGGGATGGGGGAGGGGGGGCGTGCCATGACTTCCACTTGTTTGTTATTAGCGGGAGAAGGAGCCGTTAAAACTGTCAGGACGTAAAAAAAAGATCCTGACACGTCGCCGTCAACGACCTCATGCCTTCATGCGAAGCTTGCTTCCGCAATGGAGAAGACGGATACACTTTGATCACTCAGACCTCCAAGTAGGGAAATGCTCTGAACACATGCCTCCGAAGGCGTCGCTGCCTCCGTGTGATCATCTTCCCCTAGTAGCCCTCCGACTACAAAGCCAGAACGACCAAGGTGTTTGACGTAGAAGTTCAGATACTGGGCACCTTGATGTGTGCGGCCATGGACAACTTTCAGCTCTACCTTCCCGAAGGCTACCCAATCTGGAGGTCCGTCGTCACTCTGACCCTGAGCGCGGAACTGGAGGCCGCCTGGCTGTCTCGCCTCCGCCCATTCCCCTGTGATGTTCAGCTCCTGAAAGTACATGTCTGCGCATTGACCACCCAGTCGACGTGCGTCGGCCTCTACGCGAAGCATCGCCTTCTCAACAGCAGCTCCCCGTGGAATGTTGATCAAGACGTGCTTGCCAGGCATCATCACATCGAACCGCTCGCCATGGACATTCTGAAGATGGGGATCACCAGTGGCAGAGACGGGACCCCCAATCCCGGCCACTCCAACAGGACCTCCAGTTCCGGCCACTCCAGCTGCGCCCGTCGTCGGAGCTGCAGGAGGCTGCGTCGGCAATGGCGTCGGGGCAGCCGTGGGATAGGGCGTCGGGTCGGCCGTCGGGGCGGCCGTCGGGGAGGGCGTCGGGGAGGGCGTCGGACTGGGAGTGGCAGTGGAGATCATGCCCCCGCCGCATTGGCAGCATGCCATCGAGGCGTCAACCCCATTGACCGCCCAATTCTGAAACGTGCCATACCACGACCTCCACCCGGGTCCGTAGCCTCCAGATGAAGTGCACGCTTTTTCATCAGCGTACCATTGGCATGTCGTGCTGTCACTGCTCACCCATGTGTACGGTGTTCCATACCCTTCGACGCACGCACGGGAGGAACTGTCGTCAACGCTTAGCTGCAAAGCCTTGGCGCCGACGAATATGGAGAGTGCGATAGCGATGCTTTGGATCCACTGCATTCTGAAAGACCGCTGGCTGGCGCGGTCTGGGGCAGGGAATGGAAGAATGCGATGTTAAAGAAGTGTCAGGATGAAACCAATCGGCTTGAGATAAAATGTCAAGGAATGAGGAAGGGCCTGGATCCCCTCGATTTTCTCTAAAATGTGGTCCCCAAGAAATATGGACCCCTCTCCTGGGACCGACCTCATCACAAGTCGTTGTTATCCCCAAGATCCTAAGGCCAAGTAAGGGCCCGAAGAGACATAACATTGCTGAACACATCCTGAACTCATTGTTTTACGGCGCGACGGGGTCTGGGGGGAGGGGGGAGCAGGAGGAGGAGAAGGAGAAGGAGGAGGAGTAAGAGGACGAGCGACGGCGACAGCGCCCGAGCCCGCGGTGATGATGGGGAACCAGATGGGGAGAGGGAGGATGGAGAGATAGAAGGAGGGATATAAAAAATGAGAAACAGAAAAAGACAGAGGAGGGAGGGAGGTAGAGGAGGGAGGGAAACAAGGATAGAGGGATAGACATATGAATACACACTCACGGTGTAAAATGCAGATACATACTGCGTAGATGCTTATGCATGGCTATCAACTTGGTGCACACATGCATTTATATAGCTGTGTATGACCACGATCGGACATATGCATATGTGTGTGCGGCTAATGCCACGGACACAACACACGGCGCTCTAGCATGCTCAGAGGCGCGGTCTTATATGGTGGAATTGTTTTCTAGTTCCAAACTCGTTGCCATATTGCATGCTTTTGCGCACATCCCATCCACCCGCGAGTGCTTGGCGTTGGCTGTTGCATCTCTGCGGCCGCGCCAACCCAAGCACGCGCGCGCAGCGGACAGCTAGTTTGGCGCGACCGACGCGGCCGCGGTGGCGCTGACCGCTGGGCGCACCCCAGCTGGCACTTCAGTGAGAATCGGCGACTTGGGCGGGCGCGGTACCATGGCAACGTCGGCAACGGTAGACACGACGATGATGGTAGTGATGCGGGTGGTGATGTTGACAATGACGATGGCAAGGCCAATGCGGGCGCCGATGCTGATCGCGCCAGCGACGATGACGGCGTCCTCGCGTCGGTGATGCAGACTTTGGAAATAGTTCGCCACGCTCGCGCGGCCGAGGCGCGAGAGTGGGCCGCATGTTGTTATTTGATACGGATCGTGTCCCCCTAGCGCGCGCGAGGACGTGCGAATGATTTCGGCATGCGGCGCCAGAGGCCCGCTTGGCAGACTTCCAGGAACATGGTTAGAAACCTAAGGCTTTCTAAAGTACCCGCAAGGGCGCGAGCGCAGGCTTTTCTTGAACGCTGATGTTGCGAAACCATTTGTTTACATAAGTTGTGTGGACACTCGGTTTTGAACTCGTTACGACACCGAGAGTTTTTGACAGATTTCGGCATTCGCGCCTGACGACGCGTGCGCTTGCACTTCGTCACATGTTTGGCAAGAGGGTTCTCGCGTCAGCACGCGCGCAAGGGCGTTCGAACGATTTCGACATGCGCGCACGCGAAGGTAACATTTTCTGAAAATGGTGAAACACAAGTGGTTCCTCTCAAAAATGTGCAAGGGCGCGCGCGCAGGTTTTTTCTTACCTTGGACACTCGACTTCGAAATCCTTACGAAACCATGTGTTTTTCTTTTTGCCGGATTTCGGCACGCGCGCGCGACAACGCGCGCGTGTGCACTTCGTCTCGTTTTGTTATCAAGGATTCTTGAAAACTGCGGAATACACGAATGCGCGCGAAACTGATTTTTAACGGGGGGTGGCGGGGGGGATATCGGCTCGGCTGGGATGGTATGGATTCACAATTCAGATGGACGGTGGGGCAGAATCATTTGTAAATTGCATTACGAAAAAGGGGTACCGATAATCCCGGGGGTGGGGGGGTAGAGTCTGTATTCTCTTAAGATAAGAGAATTCAACTGCCCAGCGTGAAGATGTTAATCCCAGTGTTCGCGCAATCATCCAACCCACCCACCCGCACCTTGGTTTCCCAATCCCATGCAAAAGCGATTGTGATGGGTGCTTGGCGTTGGCTGGTGGATCTCTGCGGCCGCGCCAGCCCGCGCATGCGCGCGCGCAGCGGCCAGCTAGTTTGGCGCGACCGACGCGGCCGCGGTGGCGCTGACCGTTGGGCGCATCCCAGCGGGCACCTCGGTGCGAGTCCGCGAGTTGGGCGGGCGCGGTACAATGGTAGACTAGACGGTGCTACTAGCGATGCTGGTGACGATGTTGGCAACGACGATGGCACGGCCAGTGGCGGCGCCGATGCTGATCACGCCGGCGACGATGACGGCGTCCTCGCGTCGGTGATGCAGATGTTGGAAAGAATTTCGGCGTACTCGCGCGGCCGATGCGCGAGAGTGGCTCGCATGCTATTATTTGACACGGATCATGCCCCCCCCCCAGCGCGCAAGGGCCTTCGAATGATGTCGGCAAGCGGCGCGAGAGGCCCGTTAGGTAGAATTCGGTGAACCTGATGAAAAACCGATGGTTCCATCAAGAATTCACAAAGGCGCGAACGCACGCTTTGTTTGAAAACCCGTGTTGCGAAGTAATGTGTTTGATATGTTTTTGGGCACTCGATTTTGAACTCCTTGTAACATGTAAGGCTTTTGGAACAAATCTGCAATGCGAGTGCACGTCGGCCCGTTTTCTGCAAGGGATTCTTTACCACTGATGATTTGTGATAAACAAATGCGCGCGCGTGGTCTTCGAGGAGAGGATGGTGGGGGGGGCAACACCAGCCTGGCTGGGATAGTATGAGCTCGCATTTAGGACGGACGGTGGGGCAGAATCGTATGTAAATTGCAATCTGAAAAAAGGGGGCGGGTAACCCGGGGGGGAGGTATATTCTTATTTGTTTTGAAAACTTGACTTTACCAGTGCCTGCGACTGGTTGTCAACTCCCCCGCTCGCGCAAGCATCTCACCCACCCACCCGCAACTTTGTTTGCAAAACCCATGCGGCGGCGATTGCGATGAGTACTTGTGTTGGTTGGCGCATCCTTGCGGCCGCGCCAGCCCGCGCATGCTCGCGCGCGCAACGGCCAACTAGTTTAGCAAACCTGCGCGGCAGCGGTGGCGCTGGCCGCTGGGCACTTTCCAGCTGGCACTTCAGTGGGAGTCGGTGACTTGGGCGGGCGCGCTCTCACCGGTAGCCACGATGATGGTAGCAGCGATGATCGCGATGACGACGGCAAGGCCATACCCATATGTAAATTGCAATGGTGCGGCCGCGCGAGCGCGCGCAGGCTCGCGCGCAGAGCGCCCGCGTAGTCTGGCGCGACCGACGCGGCCGCGGTGGCACTGACCGCTGGGGCGCTGGGGGCCTTCCCAGCGCGTCTCGCTGGGCACTTCCCTGCGAGTCGGTGATTCGGACGGGCGCGGTATCATGGCGACGTCGCCCACGGCAGACACGGCGATGATGGCAGCGATGCGTGTGCCAATGGTGACGATGACGACGGCGAGGCCAATGACGTCGCCGATGCTGATCACGCCGCTGACGATGATGGTGCCCACGCGTCAGTGATGAAAGACTTGACAGGAGTTCGACATGCGCGGGCGGTCGACGGGCGCGAGTGGCCCTCACTGTGTTATTTGACAGGGATCCCCCCCATCAAGCGCGCAAGGACGTTCGAATTATTTCGATCTGCGCGAGCGAGAGGCCTGGCAATGTTATACAACCGGTGGTTTTCTTCAGAAATCGCAGAAGCGCGTGCCCAGACTTTTTTTGACCAGACATGTTGCACACACATTGGCTGTTTATCTGTTTTCGTGAACATCGATCTTGAAATTCTTACGACGCCTGGATTTGGTGGTGCACGACGACGCGGGCGTGTCGACGTTGCCGCCTGTGCGCAATGATAAATTGGACATATATGACTTGTGATAAACGCGCGCGTAGTCTTACTTGATAGGGTTTAGGGGGAGGAGATGAAAAGGCCAGGCTGGGATCGTGCGAACTCTTTTTTTTGTTTGTTTGTATGTTCTGTTTTGAAAAATGAGCGATGAGGCAGAATCGTATGACATTTGTACGATCCCTGGGGGAACCAATGAACCTGAAGGGTGGGTGGCTGATTCCTCTTCAGGAAGGAGAGTCGATGCGGTGTAAACTGGGTGGAGCAGTATATGCGGTGCAAGGTGCGTGCTGCAATGTAGAAAGGGCGTACAGCAACGCAGCGAAAGCAATGCACATCAACATCATGCAACGCAGAGCAACGCAACGCAGTACAGCACAGCGCAGGCCCAAGCGGCGACGGGGCGGCGACGGCGACCACACAGCCGCCAGACCGACGGGTGGGCACAGAGGACGGGCGGCGACGAGGTGGCGACGCGGCGGCGACGGCGACCACGTATCCGCCATACCGACGGGCAGGCCCAGCTCCGTAGAAAAGCAGTCAGGACCAAGAATTCAACTCAAAATATAAAAGAGGGAATCTGTGATAGAAGTGGCCTGCCCCTGCCCCTCCTCGGCCTCCCCAGGAGAGCAGGAGGCCATGGGGGCACAAAATCTCCTCCCGCCCGTCCGCCCCAGACCCCGTCGCGTCTTCCCGAGAAAGCTCAAGAGGCAGGGGATCACAGATTCCAGTTTCCTGTCTTTCTGCAGTCTGGGGCCCTGCGACCTCCCCCGCCCCCGAACGGGAACCCCGGGCCCCTGGCCCCGGGGGTCCCTTCTGGACGCCCCTGCAGAAGCGCCCCTCTGGCTTCCGGGAGCCGGGGGCTCGTGGAGGCCCCTGCTGGGCCCGGGCCCAGCTCGGTCGAGGAGGGGCGGCCGAACGGCCCCCCGAGGCCCCAAGAGCTGTGGATGCCACGACAGGTGGGCTCCCTAGCAGTCCGATCCTTGAACTTAACATGTGTCTTGAAGGTCGGAACCATGTTTTAAATATGTGTTTAAACATGTTTTTTTACAGGTTTAAAACATGTTTAATACATGGTTTGGACATCTGGAAATCATCAGGCAACATGCTTCCTCTCCATTGATCGTCCTCCACAACCCAAGAGGCCCCGAACACCTACCATACGCCCGAAAACGACCCAAAGAGCACACCCAAGAAGCTCGAAGTGCAGAAACACAGCGATCTCCGATTGCTTTTGCATGATTTTGGGAGTGCTCGATTCTTCGGTCTTCCAAGAGGTCCGAGACCGCCCAAGACTGGAAGCTGGGCGAAGGCTGGCAAATCCGTGGCTGCTAAAACGGTCTTCCCGGAAGAAAAAACAAACTCCCGGAATCAAGCTCAGCGCACTAAATAGTAAACGGGCTGCTTCTCGGAAGAACAAACACAATTTCCCGGAGCTCTGTTTTAGCAACCACAGGTTTGCCAGCCTTCGCCTGGCTTCTGACAAGAGGCCCGACAATCATGCCAAAACTATCCGGAAGGGCGTCCAGGCAATTCAAGAGACCTATATCTTTCGTGAGGCCCCCAAGAAACTCTCCGAAGAGGAGCCTCCGCAAAAAGAGCAGGAGGATGGATAAGAATTCGCAGGGAAGGGCGAATGAGGAAGAGGAAGAGAAAACACGAGGAAAGGATAACAGATGGCATCATTATGACGACGATGTCGGCCAATGCAACGAGGAGGTATCGATATTGCTCTGCTTTACCTTCCTGCCCGTCCGCCGCGACTTCCGCCTGCACGCCAATCTGCAAGGACCACGGTGGATGGCGCGAAGCGCCAGTGCAGTCTTGTATTCACATATATAGGCGTATCTGTAATGAGAGAGAGAGAAAGCGAGAAAGAACGAGAGAGAGAGAGATTGATATACCTATATATACATTAAAGATAGAGAAAGAGAGACAAACTAGTATAGAGAAAACAACAGAGAGATAGAAAGAGAGAGAGAGAGAGACACACACACACACACACACAAACACACAGGCACACAGACACCAACAACGCAGACGCAATGACGCACAAGCGCACGGACGCGAATAGACCCACATAGCCACACACACACACACACGCGCATAGATGCACACAGACACACATCAGACACACCAGACACACAGACACACAGACACACAGACACACACACACACATACACGCACATGCACACGCACGCACACGCAGGCACGCAAGCACACAGGCACACCGACACAGCGACGCACCGACGCACCGACACGGGGCGACAGGTGCGCCGCCCCGCGCGCAAGAGGGCGCCCGCCGCAGGGCACCCCGGGGACCCCTGGGCGCGGGCCGCGAGGGGACCTCGGGCCTGGCTGCCAGGCAGGCGGGCGGGGCTGGGCAACGATATGAGGGGGATGGGCATACCGTACGTCGACAAAATGTTGCACCACTTTTGCCGCGCATTGTCAGCTGTATTGCATTGCTCCTCCCCCCCCTCCCCCTGATCTTAATATTGGGCACATTGCAAAGGTCCCTTGGCGCCCGCCCCAGGGCTCGCGACAGAATGTTGCACCACCGAGCCGTTTCGATGAACCCGGGACCGCAGCCAATGTTAAGATTGGGGGGAGGGGGGGGTGGAAGCGAACATCCATTGCAAAATCGGCTTGCTTTCTTGACAACACCAGGTGGTGCAACATTTTGTCGATGTACCGTAGGGGGGGATGCATGGACCTGGAATCGGCGATGCATCGCCCATAGATCGGCGATGGGCCCCCGACGGTGAGTCCGCACCCTCCTGGGCGGGGTGGGGCCATCGGGCCCCCATCGGCGATCGATGGGCGATCGGGGGGTCGATGCGTACCCCCCTTTGCCCATCCCCCCCCTATCGTTGCTCTCGACGGGCGGGGCTGGGCAGACGCGTGGGGAAGTGGGGTGCACACCGCGGCGGCCTGACGGCCGCGGGGAGGACGCGCGGGGAGCTGCTGGCCGCGGCAGCAGGCGGTGGCGGGCAGGCCCCAGAGGTCTGAGCGGCGTCGGGGGCCTCTGCGCCTGGCGCACGGCCTGCCAGGCAGCCAGGAGGTGCGGCAGTCTGTGCTGCGCGTCCAAGGGCTCCCAGCTTCGCGCTTCGCGCTGCGCGAAGCGCGAAGCGCGAATAACTTCGCGCTCTCGCGCCGCCCTCCCAAAGGGAGAATAGGAGGACGAGGAGGAGGGGGAGAAGGAACGAGGACCGCGAAGCGCGAAGCGCGAATAACTTCGCGCCCTCGAGGGAGCCCTTGCGTCCGCAGTGCGGGCCAGGCCTGTCTGGCACGGTGAGGGCATTGGAGATGGAACCCTTGGGTAAGGGCTCCGGGCTAGAGGCCCGTGGAACACCGGTCGTGGACGGGCCACAGATATCACGGCCGCCCACATCAGATGAGGAATCCCGAAGGTTCTAAAGCCTCCAGGGCACAGTCCTTGACCAACGCCCCCCCCCGGCATTGGCGTTCTCGGCGGCGAGCGAGGGGGGGAAGTGAGAAGGAGAAGGCCTTCTCAGACGGCAGCGGGGCTTCTCAGAAGCCCTCGCGCCTTCTGAGAAGTTTTCTTTGTCTTCGGGGAAAGCTTCGAAAATTTCTCAGAAGGCCGGGGAACTTCCGAGTCTCCTGGGAAGGCCTCCTCCTTCTCGCTCCCCCCCTCGCTCGCCGCCGACGTTCAACGGGCTGCAGGCCGAGCAAGAACGATAGAGGGACCCAGAGAACGAGGCGGACGTCGAGAGGAAACAGGCAGCAGGACGTCGACGGATGCGCAGCAGCGAGTGGCCGCGGTCGCCAAGCAAGCAGCAGCGTTCAAGCGCAAATTTGGCTAGCGAAACTGTCCAAGAGTGGCTTGCTGTTCATTCCGTGAAGCAGCAGGAAGACGGGTAATATGATAATAATGCAGAAGACGAGACAAGGGTGGGCAAAACGCGCAATTAGCTAGAAGCCTCCTAGATGGGGTCGGGGTAGATGGGGTCGGAGGATCGCGACGCATCGCCGATGCATCGGCGATATATCGGCGATGCATCGACGATGCGTCGGCGACGTCGGCGATGCATCGGCGACGCCAGCGCTGAGGAAATCGGGATCCCCATCCACGCGCATCGCCGATGCATCGGCGATGCATCGGTGATGCGGCGCGATCCTCCGACCACATCTACTCGGACCCCATCTGGGAGGCCTAGAGCAGCAGCAGCAGGATTAGCAGCAGGATCGGAGGCAACGCAAAATAGCAGAAGGGGGCATGGGGAACGGAGGAAGGGCGAGGAGAAGGATGACGAGGGGGGGTCAGACCAGGACCAGCAAGCTTTCCTCCATTGCCTCCGAGAGAATATCCGCGAGACTTACGCCGCTCGTCTGATGCATCATGCGGTGGGCACGGCGGAACTCCTCCTGCAGGCGCGAGCACTCTGCCTCGGTGAGGTGAGGAACGCAGATGTCAGTCCAGCGGTCAAAGGGGTCCTCGATCGAGAGGTGCGGCACCCTGCGCAGCCATGGCGTGGACTTGGCCGTCCGCCTCCCGGCGGCCACCGACACGCACTCGTGGGCCCAGTCGAAGTCGCTGGCATAGAACGCGAAGAAGCCTGCCAGCCCGCCCGAGAGCTCTTGGAATGCGTCGCTCACCTTTGAGCAGGGACCGACCATCCCGGCATTCCTATAGTCCTACCACGAAATCTTCTTGGAACCGACAAAATGTTCTAAGAACAAAAGCAGGGTTCTTAGAACATCAACCCGATGTGATGAAACAAGACAGACAGACTCCGCCAGAAATGTCCTAAGAGCATTTCGTGGAAGCCACAAGAGGTTCCTAGAACATTGTGTGGTAGGGCTATAGGCAAGCCGGGACGCTTCGCCACTGCTTGCCACCTGGCAGAAGAACACGGCCAGCAGCGTGAACGCGAAGCCAGACAGGCGCCCGTGCGCTCTGCCGTAGAGCCGCCGCCGGCGGGCCCAGTACTTCACGACCTGCACGAGCCGCCGGGCCCGCGGCGGCATCCGCCGCCCGAGGTCCCTGCTCTGCTGGACGCAGGCGGCCCTGCCGATGGTCAGGTCGACCCGGAGGCCCGCCGACCGGTGCGCCAGGGTGGCCGAGGGCACCCGGGCGTCCAGGGCGAGTCGTCGCAGCGCCCAGGTGCTCGAGGCCTGGGCCAGGCCCGAGAGGTCCCGCAGGGCGGCGCTCTGCACGGCGCGGGGGACCGGGTCGCCCGCGGTGCCGTCCTCGGAGGGAGAAGAGCACAGCGCAGGCATACGTTTGTCGGAGGTCCGCGCGGACAGCCGAGAGTTTACGGTCGGGAGGTTCTGGATAGCATGTCGCGGCGGCGGCCGCGGCGACACGCTACGGTAAATGGGAAGTAGAGCCGAACCAGTGCAGAAGCTAGGCTTGTTGTCCGGGGCACGCAAGGTGTGAGATCCGACTTGGCCGCCTCGCTCGGTACACGCGAGCCCGTGCACAAGCTGGGATTGCTTGCTGGTGGCACACAAGATATGACATCTGAATTGGCTGCCTCGTCGGCTGCCTCGCTGGCTGCCGCGTGCTGCCTCGTCTGCTGCCTCTTTGCCTGCTTCGTTGCCCATGGACCGCCTCGTCGGCCGCCTCGCTGGCTGGTGTATGGGGCCTCTGGGGGTGGACGCGGCCAGTGGTTCAACGCGAGGTCGACTCCAAGCGCGCCGCTGTATACGGCTTTGGAGTTGGAAGCCTGAGACCCCCCTGACCCCCCTCCTCAAGGTTGATTAGTTAGCGCGGCCAATGAGTAGTGACCTGGTTTCGCCCCACATCCGAACTGAGCATTGCAGCATTGCAAGGATGGGACACCGCGGAGTCTACCAGCAGAGACCGCTTCAACCTCCCTCCATGTTGCTGCGGTGCACGTGCACCGTCCTTTGTGGGTTTGCCCAACGCCAGAAATAAAGAAGGGAGGATTGGGGGGGGCACCCTCCATGCAAGCTCGCTGGGTGGGCTCTCCTGGTAATGGTGATGATGACGATCGATTGGCAATGCGGTTCGATTGATTGTATTTTCCATGTGCGGAATCCATTGCCAGCGGATAGCGTGTCGCTCCGTGGCGCGGGGCGGGAGGCTGGGAAATGCTCGGAACAATGGCGCCTGGAACCGGGGCTGTGGATAGCGTGCCGCGCCGAAGCGTTGCCGGCCAGCACCAGCGGAGCGACACGCTGGGCCAGAGTTTCCGATCGTGTGCCTGTGCTGCCGTTCACTCCTTTGGAGGTCGCAAGAGGGGTGTGGCATACAAGGGGTGTGGTACCAATCGTGGAAGTGGCGATGTCGTTTACGATCGATAACATCGCCAGATCCCTCTTTCCATAACTTAGGAGGCAACTACTGGGAGTTTTCGTCGGAAGGACTAAGGAGGATTGAGCCCCATTGGGGGCTGTTACGCCAGAGTGGGCCTTGGATCAAGCGGGATTGAGCCAGATGAAGTGGGATGAAACTGGCTAAAGCGGGATGAAGCGAGATTCAGCCAGATAAAGCGGGATTTCGGACCAGGGCTGAATGAGAATTTGACCTCTCGGGAGTTGCATCCGAGCATAACGCTGGCACCACACGCCTTCACTCCACACCCCTGCCCCGCTTCCAGAATTCTTCGAATCTCGGGGATCTTCTGACCTGGGTCAATCCAGACCCGGGTCAGCAGGAAACCAAAAACTGCAATGCAGGAAAGAAAACTGCAACGTAGATCTTCACACACCCTGGTCAGCCAATATCCGCGGCCGCCTCGCGGCCACGAGCGGCTCGCTAACCCGGGTCAGCCAGAGGGGGTCTTCGCAGGATCCTGCAGGATCCGGTGCCCTGGCTGAACCCCGTTTGCATTGACCCCCGTCTCTTGAGCCCCGAGAATCCTGGGCCGTGCTGCTCCCGGCCTGTCTCCACCTCTCGAGGTCGCCGGGCCCGAGCTCGAGCGTGGCGTCGTAGTCGCCGTGCAGCCCCGCGGTGCCCTCCGGCACGGAGCCGTACAGGCCGAGGCGGGCAGACGGAAACCTCGGAGGTCGAGCGAGTCACTTTGGACGCCCGAAAGTTGTCCCAAGCCAACCACGGCCGCTGTCGGGCAGGCGGCCTTCCGTCTCGAAGGGGCACAGGCCGCGGCGGCGTGGACAGCGCGTCCTGCTCAAAATGAACAGGATCCGCTGTTTGGGCATTGTGCCCGTTCTTTCCGTGCCCATGTCGTTCGTGCCGAATCACGCCAGCGGTGGTGGGATTCGCTCGCCCGCCCCCCCCCGCCCCCTCCAAAAGTCCCCGCCAAGGCGCTCCAGAGGTCCCCCGCCGGGGGGCTCCAGCGGGAGGCGTGCCCCCAGAGCTTCCTGGAGGCCTCTGGGATCTCCGTGGGCTTTCTTGGGGGCTCAGCAGGAGTCGTAAGAAACAACCGAACAAATCTCGGCCCCTCCTCCTCCTCCTCCTCCTCCTCCTCCTCCGTTCCTTTTCCTTATGTCTAATTTCTCCCTGTCGCACCCCGAGGCCGGTCGAAAGGGCGGGCCCGGCGTTTCGTCTGAGACTTCCGCACCACTTATGACCCTGAATCTTAAACGTTGACAACAATTTCGCAGATGGAGGGCGGGTGGTTTTCAAAGTGTAGCTCTCGCCTTCGCGCCGCGCACAGTCGTTTTGAAAACCGCCAGAATTTCACAGATCGCGGGCGGTTCCTTCTTAATCTGTGGCTCTCGCCTCAGCTCCGCGCACATTCCGTGTTTTTTTTTTGGGGGGGGGGGGTCAAACATATACTTTTATTAAACAATTCAAGAATTTCACGGTTTCCCATGGTCGGCGTACCAGAGCTGGTGTTTTGGAACGATTCCGGATTATGAGGGCGCAACAATTACGTGGATTCGCGGTGTTGAAGTCCCAGGAACGGCGTTCTGGCACGATTCAGGACCGTCAAGACGCAACAGTCAAGTTGATCCGTGGCGCTGGAGTCCCGAAAACAATGTTTTGGCATGCTTCAGGATCTTCAAACGGTAATCTTCCAACGAGGCAGCCCCCTCAGTGGAAATGAACCCTTGTAGGGGCCTGTGAAGAGGGAGCTTGGAGGGAGGGTCTATTCCAACATCGTTGATGACTCTTGGGTTTACACTGGTCCTCCTCCTCCTCCTCCTCCTCTTCCTTCTCCTCCTCCTCCCCTCGAGCCGTCTCCGCCCCTGCCGCGGCCCCCGAGGCGAAGAGCAGCAGGACGGAGAAGGCTCGAGGAGGGGTGAGAAGCACAACGAGGCCGAAGCTCGCTGCCACCCCGTCTCTGGCCGCCGCGGCACGGCACGATGGCGGAGACGGGAAGAGCAGCCAGGGGTGATGAGAACTCGGTGGCAACTCGGGAGAGCCTCCCGTACCATCTTGTCGGCTCGTGCGTGCTTGTCGACGCGAATGGACGCTACATCGACGCAAACATTGACGCGAGTCGACGCTGCAACGACGCTCATCGACGCTACATCGGCGCATCCCATCGCCTGTCAGACGCTAATCGGCACTATGACGACGGAATTCAGAGGGCACACCCGGCTCCCATGAGCTGGTATACCGAATTCGAAGTAGACTTAAGTCGGGCCTGTTCCCCTACAGGTGGATTTTGGACGAAAAATTTGAAATACCCCCAAAATACTCCCAAATGGTCAAAAATAATCAAAACATCGTCCCCAGACTATTTTTGACTACTTTTGAATTTTCCCCCTACTGTAGAGGGACAGGCCCGACTTAAAATTGGAAGTAGACCCGAGCCGAACCTCGCTGCCAGGGCAGAGGCAGGACGAGGCCGAGCCTCGCTCGTCGCCGTGGCGCCTTCCCCCGCCCTCCGACGACGCCACACCTCCTCGCGGCGGGGGCCCCCCCCCGGGGTCTCGGCCCGCTCCCCGGGGGGCCGCTCCGAAGGGGCCCTGGGACACACAACGAAATACATACACAAATCATCGGATTCGCCATGTTTCCCCATATTTTCTGGGTTGTCGTTTTCTCCTCCACTTCCCATATTTTCGCATATATTCCTGCTTCTTTCCCTCCTGACGCTCTCCCATCCTCGGGGGCGGCCAAGAGGGGGGGGGGGTGCAATTCACGGCCGGCGGCATGTGCGCGGCCCAGGGGGGGGGGGGGCAGGGACGTCATGACATAAGAAGAGGCGCCACGAGATCTGGGGAAATATCATGGCCAACGCCATGATATCCCCCTCCCTAGTCATCACCCCCCTCTTGGCCGCCCCCGACCCATCCCGCACCGTTTTTTGACTGCCCCGGGGGCCGAGAGACGGTTCGGTGGCAACCCATCAAAACCTCCCATACCATCCTGTCGGCTCTTGTGTATCGACGCTAGTCGACGCTAAATCGGCGCTAACCGACGCTAGTCGACGCTGAATCGACGCTAGCCGACGCTAGTGCGGCTCTATCCCATCGACTCCCCGACGCTAGTCTACGCTGATCGACGCTAAAGACGAGATTAAGAGAGTTTGTGACGCGTTGTTTACGACGGGTTCCGAAAGGGGAATTTGTGATAGGGTGGGCGGGCGGGTACGATCGCTCACCGCAAGAAATTGCTTTTTCTAGGGTTTATCCCACGTGCATCTCACTCCCGGTTCGCCCATGAATTGCTGCCGAAGGAGACGGACTCCAGAGGCCCCACGCGCTTTCCAGAGATGCCATCGCAACTTCTGCTCTCCGCCGCCCAGATCTGCGGGGGTGGGCCGCCCGTGGCACCTCGGAAGGAGCATGGCCTCCAGGTCCGCGAGCACCCCGGGCGACGCGGCCAGCATGCGCGCGGAGTGGGCCTCGAGCTGGAGGGACAGGGCCTCCAGGTCGGCCCGCAGGCTCGGCGGCCACCTTGGAGGCCGCCCGAGCTCAGGGGAGGAGCGCGCTACGGCAATCACCGCTGCTACACGGTGCGTGTCCTCAGCCGAGAGTCGGCGGCGAGCGAGGGGGGAAGTGAGAAGGGGCAGGCCTTCTCAGCAGGCTCGGAAGCCCCCGGGCACTCTGGGCAGTTTTCGAAGCCTTCTTCTTCCCCAAGGCGCAGAACGACGTCTCGGAAGGCGCGAGGGGCTTCTGAGAAGTCCCGCCGCCCTCTGGGAAGGCCTTCTCCCTCTCACTCCCCCCCCTCCGCTCGCCGCCGAAAGGAAACAGGGGCGGCGTGAGGAATCTGAGCTTTGTTCTCTGGAAGAAGGAAGAAACGGCATAAACATAATCTGTTGGCGCTCCGCGCGGATTTCTTCGACCTGCGCCGGACCCCCCTCCTGGAGGCGCCGCCTGGGGGCCCAAAACGCGGATCCAAGAACTCCGCACAGAGCGCCAGACAGTTTCTGTTTATGGCGTTTGGGCTTGTTCGAGTGAGGACGATGAGCTTCCCCTCCTTCTCTTGGCTGCTGAGGGTGTCCCAGGGGAGATCAGCAGGGGCCACCGCCGCGGAGAGGCCAGAGCGGCGTTCAGGAGGGGACAAAACACACAGACACAATCAATCGTCGATCCCCCCCAAAATATGGGAAAATATATGAAGTGGGCGGGAAGACAACAACCCAGAAAATATGGGAAAAGATGGGGAATCATTCTATTTGTGTATTTATGTGTGTCCTTTGGGCCCCTGGAGGCGTGGCCCGACACCCCTCTTGCGGCGGCACGCCTGGGCGTCGTCCTGTGCTTATACCGGGGGGCGCTCGAGCGCGCCACCGCCCTGGGGTGGCCCTCCTCCTCCGCCCGATGGGTTCTCGGTGGCGGTGGTTGCTGCTTCTCTAGCTGGACGCCCGGCAACAAGTTGGTTCCTGCTTCTCTACTCTGAGTGCGGGAAAACTTGGCACACTGCCCAACAACAAATATGGCCCAGCATCGACAGCGGCAGCTGTTGGGCAGGCGGCTTTGTTTTCAGAGAATTGCGTCCGCGGCGGCGGGAACAGCGAGTCCTGTTCGAAATGAACTGGAGCTGCTGTTGGGCACTGTACCAATTCTTTCCGTACCCATTTCGATCGTCCCGACGCGCCGCCCGGGGGGCCCAGTGCGGATCCAAGAAATACGCGCATCGCGCAGAACGCTCATGTTTATGGCGTTTTTTCTCCTTCGATTCTCCTCTGACCAGCTGGGCCATATGATCCCTGACAGCCTCGCGTGGTGAACAGAACACGACGGGCACACTTCACACCGATTCGGCCCTGGGGGACCCTCTGCCAGACCCCCAGGGCGTGCCACGAAACGACCCGAGATGGGAAGAAGTCCAGACCTCTGTTTTTTTGTTTTCCATTCAGCTACTCACGTATCACCCGTCAGATCGCGTTGCGAATCCAGTCGCATTGCTACTCAAGTCGTGAGAATCAGCCGGCCTGAAGAGGAAAGAGGAGGAGAAGGAACGAGCAAGAGCCGGAGGAGACACGGGAAGAAAGAGCAACGCCGCGCCTCGAGAGCAAGGCCACGCCCCAAGTCCAGGGTCCAGACCCCTGGGGTGCCACGCTGCGACCGGCCGAAGACGTCGGCTTCTTCTGGGACGGGGGACTCCGGCTCTGCCTCGGCCTCCGGGGCCTCGAGGGCACCTCCTCCGCAGGCCGGGGGGGAGGCCCCGAGACACCGCGGAGCCGCCCCGCCGGGGCCAGAGCAGCTGGGGTCGGACGACCGCGCCGCATCGGGGTGGGGGAAGAACTCGGGCCGAGGGGAGGAGGAGGAGGAGGAGGAGGAGGAGGAGGAGGAGGAGGAGGAGGAGGAGGAGGAGCAGGAGGAGGAGGAGGAGGAGAGGAGGAGGAGGAGGAGGAGGAGCAAGAACTCGGGCTCCGGCTTCGCGCCGCAGCGCCGTGGTGCCCCAGCCTCCCTTGGGCGGCCTGCAGATCCCAAGAGGCCCCCCGGGGTCACCACGTCCCTGGAGGCCTACAGGTCCCGTAGAGGCCTCCCGAGGCCTCTGGACAGGCTGCTTTTGCTCCCCTCCCCGCCCCCCCCCCCCAACACCAGAAAGGCAGAGGGCGTCGAATAGCCTCCGTCCTCTCGACTCCTTCCCCGAGATCCGATGTCTTAATTTCTGCAGTGCGGGGTGCCCAGAAGTTCCAGCCCTTTCCCGAAGCCAGCAGCTCTTCGACCCGAGGAGTTTCCGATGACAGTCCTGGCGCCCGGCCAGCGCCCCCCAGCCCAGGGGTCCACAATGACAAAAAAACCGGGCATGTCGGCCCAAGTCGTTTGCTGACGTTCCTAAGGCCCCCTGAGGGCCCCTATGGAGGCCAAATGCTGTGTTGTGTACAACTCCCGTATGCTTTTCCAAACGCACGCCGAGGAGGAGGCGGAGGAGGAGGAGGAGGAGGAGGAGGAGGAGGAGGAGGAGGAGGAGGAGGTGGAGAAGAAGGAGGAGGAGGGACGAGGAGAGGAGGAGGAGGAGGAGGAGGAGGGGAGGGGAGGAGGAGGAGGGAGGAGGGAGGAGGAGGAGGAGGAGGGAGGCAGGAGGAGGAGGAGGAGGAGGAGGAGGAGAGAGGAGGGAGGAGGAGGAGGAGGAGGAGGGAGGAGGAGGACGAGGAGGAGGAGGAGGAGAAGGAGGAGGAGGAGGAGGAGGAGGAGGGAGCAGGAGGAGGAGGAGGAGGAGGAGGAGGAGGAGGTGTGGAGGAGGAGGAGGGAGGAGGAGGAGGAGGAGAAGGACGAGGAGGTGGAGGAGGAGGAGGAGGATGAGCAAGAACTCGGGCTCCGGCTTCGCGCCGCAGCGCCGTGGTGCCCCAGCCTCCCATGGGCGGCCTGCAAGTCCCAAGAGGCCCCCCGGGGTCACCACGTCCCTGGAGGCCTACAGGTCCCGTAGAGGCCTCCCGAGGCCTCTGGACAGACTGCTTTTGCTCCCCCCCCAAGGCGGCCCCAGCATCGAATCTACAAGCCGGATTGGGTCGACCGGAGCATCGAATCGGCAGAAATCGGCAAAAGCCGGCAGCTAAATCGAAATCGGCTGAAGTCGGCAGGTCCGAGCCGGATCGAGTCGGAAACCGGACCGCGTCAAGCCGGATCGGAATCGAAATCGGAACCCCTCCCCTGGGGAGGGGGGGGGGACCCCCCTCCCTGGGGGGGTTTGGGTTTTTGGACCCCCCCCCCTGGGGGGGGGGGGTTGGACCCCCCCCCTGGGGGGGGGGGTGGGGGGGGTTGGACCCCCCCCCCTGGGGGGGGGGGGGGTTTTTGGACCCCGCCCTGGGGGGGGGGGTTGGAACCCCTCCCTGGTGTGTGTGTGTGTGTTTTGAACCCCCCCCTGGGGGGGTTGGGTTTTTGGAGCCCCCAGGGGGTTGCCGTCGTCGCCCCTCCTCCTCTCCTTCCCTCCCTCCCTCCTCCCTCCTCCCTCCTCCCTCCTCCCGTCCTCCTTCCTCCTCCCTCCTCCTCCTGCGGGGGGTTTGGGGTCCCGGGGCTTTTGGACCCCCCACCCCCCTGGGGAGGTTTGGGGTTTTTGGACTCCCCCCTGGGGGTTCCTCCTCCCTCCTCCTCCTCCCCTTGGGGGCCAGAGCCGGAGCGAAGCCGGATCGGCAAAAGCCGGCAGGAATCGGCTGACGCATCGAATCGGCAGAAGCTGGATCGGGCGAACTCGAAATCGGAATCGCGAATCGGAATCCCGGAATCGAGTCGGCTCGAAATCGGAATCGCGGAAATCGATTCGAATCGAACCAGCGGAATCGGAATGGCCCCCCCAAACACCAGAAAGGCAGAGGGAGTCGAAGAGCCTTCGTCCTCTCGACTCCTTCCCCGAGATCCGATGTCTTGATTTCTTCGGGGTGCCCAGAAGTTCCAGCCCTTTCCCGAAGCCAGCAACTCTCCGACCCGAGGAGTTTCCGATGACAGTCCTGGCGCCCGGCCAGGGCCCCCCAGCCCAGGGGTCCACAATGACAAAAACCGGGCATGTCGGCCCAAGTCGTTTGCTGACGTTCCCAGGGCCCCCTGAGGGCCCCTATGGAGGCCAAATGCTGTGTTGTGTACAACTCCCGTATGCTTTTCAAGACGCATGCCGAGGAGGAGGAGGTGGTGGAGGAGGAGGAGGAGGAGGAGGAGGAGGACGAGGAGGAGGAGGAGGAGGGGGAGGGGGTGGAGGAGAGGGACGAGGAGGAGGAGGAGGAGGTGGAGGAGGAGGAGGAGGAGGAGGGGAGGAGGAGGAGGGAGGAGGAGGAGGAGGAGGAGGATGAGGAGGAAGAGGAGGAGGACGAGGAGGTGGAGGAGGTGGATGAGGAGGAGGAGGAGGAGGAGGAAGAGAAGGAGGAGGAGGAGGAGGAGGAGGAGGAGGAGGAGGAGGAGAAGGTGGAGGAGGGAGGAGGAGGAGCAAGCACTCGGGCTCTGGCTTCGCGCCGCAGCGCCGTGGTGCCCCAGCCTCCCATGGGCGGCCTGCAAGTCCCAAGAGGCTCCCCGGGGTCATCACGTCCCTGGAGTCCTACAGGTCCCGTAGAGGCCTCCCGAGGCCTCTGGACAGGCTGCTTTTGCTCCCCCCTCGCCCCCCCCCCCACCAACACCAGAAAGGCAGAGGGCGTCGAAGAGCCTCCGTCCTCTCGACTCCTTCCCCGAGATCCGATGTCTTGATTTCTGCAGTGCGGGGTGCCCAGAAGTTCCAGCCCTTCCCCGAAGCCAGCAGCTCTTCGACCCGAGGAGTTTCCAATGACAGTCCTGGCGCCCGGCCAGGGCCCCCCAGCCCAGGGGTCCACAATGATAAAAAACCGGGCATGTCGGCCCACATCGTTTGCTGACGTTCCCAGGGCCCCCTGAGGGCCCCTATGGAGGCCAAATGCTGTGTTGTGTACAACTCCCGTATGCTTTTCAACACGCACGCCGAGGAGGAGGAGGAGGAGGAGGTGGTGGAGGAGGAGGAGGAGGAGGAGGAGGAGGAGGAGGAGGAGGAGGAGGAGGAGGAGGAGGAGGAGGAGGAGGAGAGAGGAGGGAGGAGGGAGGAGAGGAGGAGGTGGGAGGAGGAGGGGAGGAGGAGGGAGGGAGGAGGGAGGAGGAGAAGGGAGGAGGGTGGAGGGGG